GCACCGTGCTATGGACTGGGAACACAGCCTTGAATCAGGTGCAGTCACTGCCCCCAAGATGCTGATAACAGACCACAGGAGAGAGACATTAAGCAAATGATTATAGATGGATGAGTCTCATCAGAGAGCAGGGTGCCAGTGGACCCTATGGGGAGACATTCTACCTCGCCCACAACCCTAGATAGGCCTCTCCTTGATGAAATGATGTGAAAGACGGGGAGACCTGAAGGAGGGTGACAGGGTGGGCAACAGGAATCAAGAAAATTGTTCCTCTTTCACTTGGGGGCTTCTGGAAAGCTGTCCCCAACTCAGGAAGAGGTCATGTTCTAAAAGTTTATTTTCACATTCATGGGTTTAGAGCTCATAATAATAAAAATTTATTTTTCCACATAAATACACTTAGAAATAGTGGCTAGGTTTCCAGGCTGGTCCACTGGCACCCAATTATCTATAATGTGCTGCACCATATATAGCATTTTTTAACCAAACTCGTTTCTATGGGAAACTTAGGCTGAGTCCTGATGTCCCGTGCTCACAAGCCCCCCTTTTCCTCACTAACTCCCAGCAGTTCCCTCACAGAGGTCTCTCCAATCCAGCCCCCAGCCCCCAATCCCACGGCCTTGGTTCAGGCCAACCTCATACCGACCCACGACCTTGGGTCTGCGCCACAGCAACAAACTCAAAGCTCAGTCACCTGATCTTCAGCTGCCCCTCTCAGCCCTCTCCCCGCCTCCCAATGCTTCAGCCAGTCACTTTTTAAGGAACAAATGTGAAAATCTTTCAGTGGTTCCCACTGCTCATTGGTTCTCCTTCTCAGCCTGGAATTTCCCATCGATTTTTCAAGACCTAACCCCTCTATCCAATACAACTTTCTACTTATTTCTACTCTAGCAGCTTATCAAGTTGTATTCTAATTTGTGCTCACCTATTCAACAAATACGTGAGTACCTACTACCGGCCAAGCTGTGTGCCTTCGTGGAGAGAACACGCTGTGAAGACAGAGATCAGGTCCTATGTGCATCTGCCCAGGCACTATATTACACTATATTATTTATTAATATCATATTAATATATGTTTTTTTCTTCCCAGGCTACAAGGCAATTCCCCCCCAGGGATGATAGCAATTTATACCTTCAACTAATGTTTCCCAACATGTTGGCCTGTCTTCAGCCTGGCAAGAAACGAATCTTTTTCATCACTTAATGCCAGATCCTCAACGCTGGCTTCCTCAACTGCAGCAGCAGAGGTCTTAACTTAGAGTTGAGTTCATATCTTATCTTTGGTAACTCCTAGCCACTTGCTCTTAAATGACTTAATCTCTCAAGCTTCCTTACTTGGGAAATGGGGATAATACTACTTACTTCACAAGCGGGTTTAAACATTGATTCCCAAACCCAGCTGAATATCAGAATCACTGGGAACTGGAAAAAGATGCAGAATGAAAACGAAACAAGAGATCTGCATTCTTCAAAAGCCCCAAGTGATTCACACGTATAGCCAGATTGGACACCAGAGACTGGAGGCTTAAAGTATTCGTCAAGTACCTGTCATATTAACGCTCAATACCCACATGAGGGGACTTCCCTGGCAGTCCAGTGGGTAAGACTCTGTGCTCCCAATGCAGGGGGCCTGCGTTCCATCCCTGGTAGGGGAACTAGATCCCGCATGCATGCCACAACTAGAGAGTTTGCATGCCGCAACTAAGAGTTCGCATGCTGCAACTAAAAATCCTGCATACCACAACGAAGATCCTACATGTGCTGCAACTAAGACCTGGTGCAGCCAAAATAAATCAACAAATATTTAAAAAGAAAAAAGAAAAGGGAGAGATTAATTAAAAAAAAAAAAAACAATACCCAGGTGTGCTGTAGAAAATGGGATTCTACCCTAAGGAACAGTGGTGGGGAAACAGGAGAAAACACGGGGAAGTATTCTGGGCATAAACCATACGTGGAAGGAATTACATGACATGATATTCCCCTCAATTCCAATTAGAATCACCAGAGCCACTCTGGAAAGCAAACAAACTGCCAGGAGACATATATTCTCTCAGCCCAGCCTTCCAAGATACTAACGGTGAAAAGTCCAAGCAGACATGGGTAAATTTTTCCAAAGGTTAAGGTTTGTTAAGTTAATGTTGAAAATTTCAAAGGGGCCGGGACCTCAGTAAGAGTTGGCAACAGATGCAGCTGTTGGCAGCTGCAGCATCACCTATTACATGAGTGTTCTTCAAAAGGTAGCTTAGAACACAGTGATACTGGCAATGTGCTATCCTCCAAAACAAGCAGGACTGTTCCTGTTTTCTCGGTGTTTCTCCAGCACCAGAATAAGGGTGCACGGCCCTGTTCCTTCCCATCACCCAACTTGTGATGAAAGAAGAGAGCCTGCCTAAGGCCAGGGCTAGACTTGGATGGTTCAGGAGTGTCACTGCACCTGTCTTTCACGGCCCATGGATACTTAGAAAGAAAATACAGAAAGGGGATTAAACTAATTCTGTCCAGTTCCAAGACTCAGACCCATGGGTGGAGGTGACAAAAATGCTATATACAGCATACTACAATCAGATATAACCCCTAACCCAATGTTCTGAAGCATCCTGCTTCCTTATAATGAAAACCTAAAAATCCTGCTTCCAAGAATTAATCCTACAGGTATTTTCCAACACGTGAACAGAAGGAGGTACAAAAATGTTTGCTGGGACTTCCCTGGTGGCGCAGTGGTTAAGAATCCGCCTGCCAATGCAGGGGACACGGGTTCGAGCCCTGGTCAGGGAAGATCCCATATGCCGCGGAGCGTCTAAGCCCATGCGCCACAACTACTGAGCCTGCGCTCTACAGCCCGTGAGCCACAACTATTGAGCCCGCATGCTGCAACTACTGAAGCCCGTGCGCCTAGAGCTTGTGCTCCACAACAAGAGAAGTCCCGCTCACCGCAACTAGAGAAAGCCTGCGCGCAGCAACAAAGACCCAACGCAGCCAAAAAAAATTTTTTTTTTAAAGTTTGCTGTGCGGCTATAATAGCAACACACACTGGACACTCCTCAATGCCCAGCAAGAGATGACTAGCTACATAAATTACGTCACATCTAAAAGGGGCAGCAGAGTAGGGATACGGAAATTTAAGACATACAACCATGAAGCTGTACATTTTAATTTACAATTCTTACCAATAAAAAGGATTAGTTACAAAACGGGAATTTCTCTATACAAAATTAGGATTTATTTTCTTTCACAAAGAGAATCTGCTGTCATGTCTTGCCTTGCCAAATCAAATCTCAAATAGCTTGCTTAGCTAAAATTATTCCCCAAAGATAGGTAATCCAGACAAAATTAATAAAAATTATCAGCTTCTTAAATGTGTTTAAGAGGAAGAATTTAATGAACATTTTGCCTTGAACTGAAGAATTCTAAGGAATACTTGTAACCTTCAGAAAGACTACTGCTCTCAGGCAGTTGAGCTGCTGTGACAGCGTGTAGGAGACAAGCTCACTTACCGTGAGAATCTTCTTACACATACAATGAGTCTCCACTCCTGCACAGTGAGGGCCAGTATGACGTAACAGGAAGAAGGGTTTCTAAAATTTTACAAGTAAATTTTATTCTGGCCACAGGTCAACAGCAAACATATGACAGTTAGGGTTCAGATTCTCCCCGCCGCCTATTTTATCATATAAATTAAATATGAAGACGTACACTCGAACAAACTTCATGAAAAACGAGGAGCGGATTTCAAACACCCACTTCCTAGAATAACACACGTCACTGCTTCAGAGTGGGGTGAAGAGTCACACTCTCAGCACACAGTGTCTCCTGCACAGAACCACTGGTCAAAATGTTCAAAGCCTTCTCTAGTTGACTCAAAGCATGGCAGCCACTCAGCACTGCTCCTAGCAGTTTGCTTTCAGAATAAAAATATAAAATAAGAACCTGTGTGAAACGTCGCAGCCTTCAAAAAGCTATCCGGTGACAAGCCTAGCTCTGATGGAAAAAGCCCACCTGTAAACAAAAGAGCTGTGGGTGAAGATGGTCTGATGTACCTTCATGACTCGAAATAAAAAAAGCTCCTCAAACACAGATGATTCTAAAGCCATTACGCCCCAAATTACGTGATTCACTTAGATGTGCTTACAACAGCTTCTAAATAAGATCTACATACAGAGGAGCTGCACCCTCCTCACAATTAACTGAAGCATATGGCCATGGGGGTGGGGAATAGGGGCTTGGTTTTAAAAAAAAAAAGACAACTTAAAGAGGGTTTAAGGTTCTCCCTCCACTCTACTCAATAAACATACACCCAGAAGGAGAATGAAGTCAAATCAATGCCCAGGCACCTCTCAAAGAGAGCTTCTCCCTGTGGCCAATGTGCTTTGGAACTTTCTAGCACAATACAAATCCACTACTCTGGGTACACACAGAGCCAGTATGCCCTAC